AACCCAGGGCTTGGCAGAGAAGTTAGGAGCATGGTTGCTCCCTGTCATGCTCAGCTAAGTTTGACCCACTGTCTTTAATTGCTCTGTTTCAGCTGGCAATGAACCTGGGGCAGAAAATCATCTGCAAATGTGTAGGTTTGCTGTTGCTGGGTACTGGAATGTAAAGATCCTCATCTGAACCAGTCTCCTTATACCATGAAGGTATGTGAGGGCACAGCTGCTTTTCCCCAGTGCAAGGAGCTCAATAAGCTCCAAGAAGCCACACAGATGTCACTTTGGCCAAAGAGGTCTTTAGGATCTAGGATCACAGTCCAGATCCTGACTTCATGTCAATGATTCTACCAACACCAGTGTGCTTGTCTTGCTCTATATGACTTGGAGAACAGCATCTGCCCCCCCTTGCCATTGCACTCAATTCCAAATACCCCTTCACAGCTACACTGGACAGATTTGGTGAGGTGGAGAACTGGGGCCCTCACCCTGCCAGGAGCTGGTTGTTGAGAAACTTGGCAAGCTTGGAGCTGAAAGTCCTGAAGATCCTGTACAGCCAAGTGTCACCAGGATTCATCTTAAGACAGATCCTAGATGCTCACCCCCCAAAAGGCCTTACCCACTGATCACTGTGACCCCAGAGGTTCTCTGGTAGCTCACCTGCTCCATACAGGCTCCCCTCAGTTGATTCCTCCCTCACTGCTCCCTGCTGTGTCCCACTGAGGAGCTCTTGGATCATCATCATGGGTGGCTTTCCTTGGTGTTCTAGTACAGGTGGTGCCAGCTCAGCCAGTTCTTTCTCTGCTTCTCCTTCCTCCAACACTTCAGGATGAGGTTCTGGCTTGGGTTCGGGCTTAGGTTCAGCCTGAATAACTGGCCGATGGCCTCGTCCTCTCCCAGCTCCTCTGCCTCTCTTTTGCCGTTTGCTCTTCTCTTGCTCCCTGTCAGGATGTTTAACACAAGCAAAGGGTTGGGGACAGAGAAGAGGACTTTCTCTCCCCCATCTGACATCTGGCTCCTTCCTGGGGTGCCCACACTCTCCTGACCAAATACCACTTTGCTAGGCCCCAGGCTGTGAGTACAACTCAGTTTATCCTGGCAGAGCCTGTGCATGTGCAAGCAGAGACTGCTTCCTCCACCCCAGCCTCTCACATGAGCCCTGTGTGACAGATTCAGGCCATGGGAGCTTGGAGACTAGATTTGACCCAGCCCTGCTTTTCTGGGTGAGAATCACTCGTCTCCCAAAGTGCTACCTATGTAAAATGCCACAGTCCCTCTCCAGCTCCTTGCTCCCTGCCCAGAGCTCCATTGGCTGCCAAGAGCACAAATGCATCTGCACATTTTAATACATACACATTTGCAAATATTGAAGCTATTTCTAGGCTACCATTGACTTCAGCTTATGGGCAATGTGCCCTGGCCCCAACCATGGCAGGGCCAAGTGAGGACTGAGGAGGGGAGAGACACACACACACACACACACACACACACACACACACACACATAGACACACAGCATACAGGAGCAGGGCTGAGGTTTGGCTGGGAGTGGATGTGTGTGTAGTTGGGACCTATCCCATAGGAGCCAGATTTAGGTCTCAGGGATGACTATCTCTGGGCTGGCCAGGGGCAGGATCTCTTTGGGGAATGGAGGCTGGCTGTCAGGGGAACAGGTGCTGTCTCATGGTGTGAGGCTCTTGGAAGGGCGGGGGCTGAATCTATCCAGGGTTTCCCAGGGAAGGTTTGGAGTACCTGCAGCTTCTCTACCCTGGCTGGATTCTCTGTTATGTAATTCAGATCCTGTCAGCAAGCATCTAACTTCCTTGGACAAAGGGACCAGCACAAGGCCCTAGCCCAGAGAAGCTCTTTTTTAGAAGGGCTTGAAGAGGATGTGCAGACTGTTTGAACTCTGTGTGGTGGGTGGGTTTCCTCAGTGGCTCAGTCACAGGGCTTGGAGATTCAATGGAGACCTTTCCCAACAGAAGACACATGGGGCACACCTCAGCTCTGTCCTCACACTCCTCTTGCTTCCCTTGACCCAGTCCACATGCCTGCCCCCCGCCTCCATCCAGCCTGCCTGTGAACCTAATATTGCAGTTCTCCATAGCACCCACTCAAGGCTCCATGTTGGCCAGAGCAAGACAGGACATAAATTGCACCTCCTCCCTTGTGTTGGGCATGGGGACAGGCAGGGGGGAGACAGGAGTTGTTGCTGAAAATACTCTTTAGCACCCACCTAGATCCCCAGGGGAACAGGACCAGGCTTTGCAGGACAGAAGCAGGGCTTTGTCAACAAAGGTCCTTACAGCCCTCTTCCGTTACCATGTGGGCACAGAGGTGCTGGGATACCATGCCTGGGTACAGACTAAGTGTAAAATAAAATGACTCTACAGTGTAAGCAAAATTTACCCCAGGACCCACTGAACTGAGTCTTTCTCCTGGGCTTCTGCTTTTCTTTTCTGGAGCAGCTCTCGGTCTCTCAAGCGGCGTGTGATGATGACATCTATGAGAATAAAATGATTATTAATGAGACATCCTGGGCAAAGAATGATTCAATCTCTCCCTGACCAGTGTCAGAGCCCTACTTCAGGCAACCAGACTGATGGCTCTCTTCACAATAGAGTGGCTCTCAATACGTAACAATTCAGGACACTATATTTATAGAACGACCACAGTGCGTTGGAGCATGGCTTGGAGCTATCAGCAAGTGACACTATCCAAAGCACCTGGGCACTGGTGCCATACATCACCCTAAGCTTCTAGCTGAAGTTTTCCTCCCACCACTGCTGCCTTTGGGTGACTCTTTTCCAACCTACTCATCACCATAGGGATCTGGGGCTTGACAGAAGCACAGAGTAAGTGCAAAGGCACCACAAAGTCCCTGAGTCACATGTCACTAGAGGCTGTGAGATAAATCTTTGTGTTTGCCCCATTCTTACACTCTTCCCCAGATATGCTTTATTGTCCACTGTCAGAGTCAGGATGCTGGGCTAGATGGACCAAAAGTACACAGATCCAGCAGAACCATTTTTATGTTAAGTTGACTGGTTCCACCACGAGAGAGACACCCCAGTCCTTCAGGATTCAGAATCCTCAGTACATTTCCCTGCTCTTTGCTGGCACATGGGGAGCTGCCAGTGTCTGTGATTCCTGAACCATTGCACTAACACCATCTTGTGTGTTGTGTCCAGCAGAAAATCACCAGGAAGCAGGAGGACTGGTGGCCTTCTCAGAATGAGTCTCCCATGGAAGGCCTTGCCCTGCAGGAGGGCAAGCCCTGCAACATGGGAACAGGTCTGTAGGGGTGGGTGAACCAAAGGGCATGGGCTTACTCATACACACATGCTTGTGTATGTTACTAGATTGAGCCTTTTTAAGAGCTGGTGGCCCAGATATGGAGCACGACACAGACCAAGCACATACTGGTGGTGGGGAGGAGAATGGTCCCAGTGACTATGCAAGCAGCCCTGGGCTGGTCTGCAGCTATAAGGAGAACTATGGCAGGGCTAGAGAAAGATGGAATTCATCACACCTCATGTTAGAGGGTTCCAATGCAGACATTTCCATTTGGGCAAGACATATGTTTCCTGTAGTTACCAGAGAGAAAGGGGCACCTCTGAGACCCAAATCATCTGAGCTCTGTGAAATGCCCTCCTTGGGCCTAGATGAATTGTGCCTATTTCACTGGCTATGAAGGGCTCCAGATGGTCTCCTGAGATGGAGACATCTCAGCCACCTAGAGCTGGACAAATGAATCCTCTGGACTTCATTGAGGCCAGAACTGAACCCTGCTTTCCCATGTCCTGGTCCTACTAGGCATAGGTAATAGGTCTTATGCCTTCTGATCCAATCAATCAATCAGCCCTGAATTTTCCAGCTTGGACCCTGGCCTGTGATAATAAAGATGACCCAGCTTAGATCATGTAGCATAAGGCCATTCCCTTGAGACAAAGGGCATTGAGGGACTGTTCAG